AACCATATACAGATCCCAGTTTTAAGATCTGCTAACTTAAAATGACTATGGCTTTATGCCTGGCTCTTCCTTGCTCCCTGTATACTTAATGAATCCTTTAGCTTCGCTAATATTCCACTGCCCCTTAATAATTAACTGCTTTTTTGTTTTCTTTAAACAAAAAATAAATAAAATAAATAAAATATAATAAATAAATAAATAAATAAATAAATAAATAAATAAATAAATAAAAACTAGATACATAAATGAAAATGAAATGATAAAAGTAAAGAACAAAAGAGTAGAATAAAATAAAAGTCAAAAATTATCTTTGTCTGTCTAGTTATCATGTAGATAAAAAAAATTAAAAAACCCCCACTTTGCTCTTAGTTACCTTTTGCTTTGATGAAGTTAACTATATCCTTTTCCAAAATGAATCATTACCCCAGATTTCTAGACCCTATAATATCTTCCTCATTTCTTGCTCTCCTGGATCTGCTTTATGAAGCTTTGGACTTCTTCTGGCGTGCTAAATCTGTGGACTTGTTCCTTGTATGTTACTATCAGTTTAGCTGGTGGTACAATGCCACTTCTCAGTCCCATCTTCCAGAGTTGTTGTCGTACCCCTCCAAACTTCTTCTGTTGTTCGTGCACCTCTGTGACTTAGTCTTCTCCTTGGTAGTTTTACCAGGTCCAGGCATCGTGGGTCTATAGCGTATTTCGTTTTTGTGTTTTGGAGCGTTTTTCCTTAATTTTAAGGATTTAGCAAAGTTTCTTGCAGGAGCAGTTCAGAGCTCAACCGATTACTACGGTGACGTCATCGGAACTTCTGTGTTAATCTTAACGTAGAAAATTCCATCACATTCTTCACAAACCTTAATTTACTTTACTTTCCGACAGAGCTGGTAATATTATGGAGTCCTCTTTAATTTTAGTTAATATCTGTAAACATTCCCATCATCATCATGAACACCAAAACACGGCCACTTCGAGTTCTAACAGCGATGATCATAAATGTGGATGCCTCAGACTCAAAACTAGCAACCAGTCATTTTAAAATAACAATAAAGTGTGTGCATTTTGTTTTGCACTTGTTCTATATAGTTGGTTGCACTACTATAGTATATTGTAATATAACTGCAGCTACTTTTAACGACTCAAGGAGTTTCCACCGAAGACATATACAGTGGGGCAAAAAAGTATTTAGTCAGCCACCGATTGTGCAAGTTCCCCCACTTAAAATGATGACAGAGGTCA